ATGCCAAAAAATTATGCCCATCTTTAAAATATATATTTCTAATTTACATTGGATTGTTTCCGGTGTTGATATAACCAAACTGATTTGATTTAGAGAAAGTCACCAGATTGCTAAATATGTGTTTAAAACTGTGAAGTTGAAGACAAAAGACAGTCAGAGATCCTGACTGCATTTGACAAACAGTACAGAAATGTCACTTCCTTAAGGGGACATCCAGTAAAGTGCTAGCTCAGTGTCTCACACTGGCACCAAAGCAAATGCTTTAACCGTTACTAGCACACTCACAAGAATTTGTGCTGCAGGTCATTTTGGAAGGTAAGAAATCATTCCTGTGGAAAGATGACAGCTGGAAAGATTGACTGAATGTCTACTTGGCTGAAACATGTCAAACAAGGCCCTGGTCTGGAGAACATGCGTTGGCTAGAGAGCAGATACCAGGGACAGGCAGGGATAAGCAAAGTGGAAAATGGGAAAGAAACAGAACTTTATTATTCATATTCTGTACATTAGAACGCACACAGAAATTGACATTTTAACTGAAGAATTGGGGGAACGCAGAACTTATGGACTACAACCGTATGGAAACCATTGATCTACTTAAATACAGATCAAGGTAATTTTGCAAAAGCTTAACTGTGAAAATATTTGTATTCGACAGTGGTCACAAGATGTATTTGTCAATTACTCTTTTCGCCGACCCCACAGGTGTCATGTATGGAGCGGCGTAATGCGGTGGAAGCCATGTGCAGAGCCAGTTGATCTGTTCCAATCCACGTTTATTTTACATAGAACATAAAACAAACCGAGAACGGCGAAAAAGGGCTAACTGGGCTAATGAAAACAAAGTGCGCGTGTCGCGTCTTATAATACCAATACAAAAAACCCACAGTAGCAACAGCAAACGTACACAGCACTCACCTCTAAACCAGCGTGACATAGAATAATGCTAAGCAAGGAGTGACTTGCTAGCGACCCCTTTATATCCCTCATGATTATAATTACAAACAGCCGTGAGACAAACGTAAACAAGGAAGTGCATCACCGAAATATGTCCGTGTAGCAACGCCACCACACCAATCGTGACAGTATCCCCCACTAAAAGGCTAGCTCCCCAGATAGCCGAACGGAAACACAAAAACAAAACAAGGGAGCAACAGGGAGAGAACCCACAGTCAAACCCAAAGGGTCAGTCCAGGACCGCAGGTCCAGCCCTGAATAGGCCTCGGTGGCCTGAGAGGCCGCCATCTAGTGCGGCTGAGAGACCGCCATCTTGTGCGGCTGAGAGTGCGTTGTGGCGGCGGCCATCGTGGGCGACGTGGCGGCGGCCCTCGTGGGCGGCGTGGCGGCGGCCGTGGGCGGCGTGGCGGCGGGGCGTAGCGTGGCGGCGGCCATCGTTGGCGTAGTCGTGGCGGCGGCCATCGTGGCGTAGTCGTGGCGGCGGCCATCGTGAGCGTAGTCGTGGCGGCGGCCATCGTGAGCGTAGTCGTGGCGGCGGCCATCGGCGTAGTCGTGGCGGCGGCCATCGTGGCGTAGTCGTGGCGGCGGCCATCGTGAGCGTAGTCGTAGTCGTGGGCGGCCATCGTGGCGTAGTCGTGGCGGCGGCCATCGTGAGCGTAGTCGTGGCGGCGGCCATCGTGAGCGTAGTCGTGGCGGCGGCCATCGTGAGCGTAGTCGTGGCGGCGGCCATCGTGAGCGTAGTCGTGGCGGCGGCCATCGTGGCGTAGTCGTGGCGGCGGCCATCGTGAGCGTAGTCGTGGCGGCGGCCATCGTGGCGTGGCGGCGGCCAGTCGTGGCGGCGGCCATCGTGAGCGTCGTCGTGGCGGCGGCCATCGTGGCGTCGTCGTGGCGGCGGCCATCGTGGCGTCGTCGTGGCGGCGGCCATCGTGGCGTCGTCGTGGCGGCGGCCATCGTGAGCGTCGTCGTGGCGGCGGCCATCGTGAGCGTCGTCGTGGCGCGGCCCTCGTGGGCGGCGATGCGGCAGCCATTGTGGGCGGCGATGCGGCAGCCATAGTGGGCGGCGATGCGGCAGCCATTGTGGGCGGCGATGCGGCAGCCATTGTGGGTGGCGATGCGGCAGCCATTGTGGGCGGCGATGCGGCAGCCATTGTGGGCGGCGGCGTGACGGCAACAGCCATCTTGGGCGCTGGCGTGACGACGGCAACCACCTTGAGCGCTGGCGTGACGACAACAGCCATCTTGAGCGCTGGCGTGACGGCGGGAGCCATCGTGGACGCTGGCGGGACGGTGGCAGCCATCTTGGGCGCTGGCGTGACAGCGGGGGCCATCGTGGACGCTGGCGTGACGGCGGCAGCCATCTTGGGCGCTGGCGTGAAGACGGCAACAGCCATCTTGGGCCCTGGCGTGACGGCAACAGCCATCTTGGGCGCTGGCGTGACGGCGCGGACCATCGTGGACGCTGGCGTGACGGCGGCAGCCATCGTGGACGCTGGCGAGACGGCGGCAGCCATCTTGGGCGCTGGCGTGACGACAACAGCCATCTTGGGCGCTGGCGTGACGACAACAGCCATCTTGGGCGCTGGCGTGACGACAACAGCCATCTTGAGCGCTGGCGGGACGGCGGGAGCCATCGTGGACGCTGGCGAGACGGCGGCAGCCATCTTGGGCGCTGGCGTGACGACAACAGCCATCTTGAGCGCTGGCGGGACGGCGGGAGCCATCGTGGACGCTGGCGAGACGGCGGCAGCCATCTTGGGCGCTGGCGTGACGACAACAGCCATCTTGAGCGCTGGCGTGACGGCAACAGCCATCTTGGGCGCTGGCGTGACGGCGGGGACCATCGTGGACGCCGGCGTGACGGCGGCAGCCATCTTGGGCGCTGGCGTGGCGACGGCAGCCATCTTGAGCGCTGGCGTGACGGCAACAGCCATCGTGGGCGCTGGCGTGACGGCAACAGCCATCGTGGGCGCTGGCGTGATGGCGGGAGCCATCGTGGACGCTGGCGAGACGGCGGCAGCCATCTTGGGCGCTGGCGGGACGACGGCAGCCATCTTGAGCGCCGGCGTGACGACGGCAACAGCCATCTCGGGCGCAGGCGTAGCGGAGGCCATCTCGGGCGCAGGCGTAGCTGAGGCCATCTCGGGCGCAGGCGTAGCTGAGGCCATCTCGGGCACAGGCGTAGCTGAGGCCATCTCGGGCACAGGCGTAGCTGAGGCCATCTCGGGCACAGGCGTAGCTGAGGCCATCTCGGGCGCAGGCGTAGCTGAAGCCATCTCGGGCGCAGGCGTAGCGGCCATCTCGGGCGCTGGCGTGGCGGAGGCGATCTCTGGCGTCAGATCTTGAAAGTCCAGCCATGCCTTCCACCACGCCCTAATGACAGCCGGGGGCTGCTTATGTAACCCCTCCGGGGATTTCTCTGTCCCGGAGGTAGGTGGTCGGAAAGGGTCTTCCCCCGGCGGGGGTAGTGGCTGTAGCTCCAGGGGTTTTCCTCCCCCTGTCTGCAGCCCCGGAACAGTGGGCGGTGTCTTCTGCCCGCCCCAGCCGACGTCCGATGTTGCGGGGACTAGTCGACTGAGGACGGGGTCCCATAGCAGGGCGTCTTCCAGGGAGTCCTCCTCCACTCGCTCGTAGAACGCTTCCTCATCATCCGAGGAGAGGAGTCGGACCCCCAATCACCCTGCCAGGTGTAGCGCTGCTCCTGCTGCTCCGTGGGTTGACGGTGAGCTTCATACCTCGGAGCGCTATAGCTTGCCCCTCCGAGGAATCCACTCACCGTCCGGCTCTGCGGGCTTCTTGGGTGGCTTAGCATTCTGTCATGTATGGAGCGGCGTAATGCGGTGGAAGCCATGTGCAGAGCCAGTTGATCTGTTCCAATCCACGTTTATTTTACATAGAACATAAAACAAACCGAGAACGGCGAAAAAGGGCTAACTGGGCTAATGAAAACAAAGTGCGCGTGTCGCGTCTTATAATACCAATACAAAAAACCCACAGTAGCAACAGCAAACGTACACAGCACTCACCTCTAAACCAGCGTGACATAGAATAATGCTAAGCAAGGAGTGACTTGCTAGCGACCCCTTTATATCCCTCATGATTATAATTACAAACAGCCGTGAGACAAACGTAAACAAGGAAGTGCATCACCGAAATATGTCCGTGTAGCAACGCCACCACACCAATCGTGACAACAGGAGAAAACATTGGTTGAGAATGGATTTGCCATTGGACGTTTTAATTCCTGAGTAAGGAGAAGATTCTGGTGAATGCCAGTGGCAAACAATAGTTCAGTCCAAGGTTAAGCAGAATGATTGCCAAGAAGGTCACACACACACACACACAGAAGAAAACACACACACACACACATTTGTTTTCCGAACAACAGATTTACAAACGATTTCTCAGAAACCTATTATCCGTAACCATGTACAAGCAACTTCTCAGGAGGCTTTTTTTACGATAGAAAAAAAATAACATAAAACACAAGGCTACTAAAAACCAGTAAATGAAAAACTAAAAAAATACCTACACCATACCTATAAAATGTACAATCCATCTGAGTGTGACACAAACAAACCAATCTGGGGTGGGGGGGTATCTCATACCTCATAAGACCAGACGCACTGGGTCCCTCCGAAGCGGCGAACACAGCGGCCAACCTCCACGTCCTCATGGGTTGTGTACATCTCCCGGAGACACGTGCCGATGTGGGGCGCCATCCTACGCAGAACCTCACGACTGAAGATCATGCCGGGTCCCCCCATGCAGAAGTTCTCGCCCGGCTCCAGAGCCAACTTACCCAGCTCCTCGGCCGTGCCCAGACCCGTCTGGCCCAGGTACAAGGGCTTACTGCTGTTCAGAGAGCGCAGGAACGACTCCAGCTTATCGCCTGTATGGAGAGATAGATGGATAGATTGTTGGATAGATAGATGGATTGATAGATGGATAGAGTGTTTCACCATAAACGAAGGGTCACTTTAATGTAATGATTGTGTACATTTTAATTCTTTCTTGACCTGCCTCTGTGAGTACATGGAACCTTGACCCTCTGTGGGAATTGAACTCAGAACCTTTGGGTTGCAAGCACAATGCTCTATCTGTTAAGCTACACTGGACTATGGTAAGGAATATTAATGACATCCACACAAATACAACCACTACTGCGCGAACAGTGTGAACTAACTCTACAGCGGGTTGCCACGGTGGCATCGACCTGATCTTGGCATCCTGTGTGCAAATTATCTTCATCTGAGAGACACTCTCTAAGTGTAACCGTGTAGCAAAGCCTTAATGTGGTCAAGTAAAGGAGGGGAAACTCTAGCAAGAAATCTCTCGACGTCTGGAGGAAAGCTGCTCACATTCCCATGAAAATGTGTTTGGAATATTTGACATGCTGACGTGACCAGCTGTTGCAACCTTCTAGTGCCTATAGTTGGAAGTGCTTCATTTGGAGTTAACTCTATCTGGACAAACCCACGGGGATAACTATAGACAAAGTAAATTCAATAAATGCATTTACCTCGAATATAGACGTCATCGTCAGCTCTCATGAACCACTCGTATTTATGCAGGTAATGGTCGTGCATGTACTTCAGCATCATGAAGGACTTCTTCTGTGGCGGATAGGAGTCGTCCACGTCGGCCAGCGACACCACCGGGACAGGAACCGGCAGCGGGACATGTTCTGATCCCTCGCTGGAGAAGAACTCCACCTTCCCCGGGATGGAGCGCGTCCACGTCCGGTGTGCGGCCACCGCGCGTGAGTCCAGGTACTTTTTTGCAGTCATGACCCCAACGTAAAGGAAATGCCTGGGTTTGGAAATAGGCCCATCTCCATCTCCACTGCCATTAGCCGTCCTGTAGACGCTCTCCTCCTCCTCCTCCTCACTGCCCCCCGGGCTGGACGGAGGGCTCTCCGGGGCTTTGCGGTACGCATCACTCGCGGTACCTCCGGTGATCCCGGCCACTTTACCGACGCCACCGGTATCACTGTAGTATGAGCATACCGTGGGTTTCTTTCGTTTCCCACTGATTTCAACGACCCGGGGTGCAATAAGCCAAGAAGCCGCCGTGAATCCAAGAAACACCCCCACGAGTACACTCATCCACGGTCGCCTGGACCTAACGGCCATGGTTCAATAAATATTCAGAGTTTAAATATGCAATAAACACTATACATCCGAGGAGGATAAGTGCTCACTAGATGTTGCGGTTCTAGACCCAGCAGTTGCCATACATGGGCATCACTCATTTGCGAAGTGCATCAGATGAGTGATGTAAAGGTATGAATGTGTCCCCACCTCCATGGATACCATGCTGCATCCCATAATCCGCAGATAATCTGTCAGCCTGGGTACGTTGCCATTTCACAGTCTTGTATAAACTGCGGAGCATCTACATGAATCCAGATCAGTGGTAACATCTGTATTTGTAATGTCCAGGACGACGCCAGAAGTTGCCGTGCAGTCCGACTGAGACGCACCGTAGTAACCAGGACTCCTCATTACTCCCCAGTGGGCGCATTGTTCCTCCAGACGCAAGAATGTACCCAGAAAAGTTAACTCCGCTGAATTAAACTCGGTGCTTCACCTCCGCCCAGAGTGCGCGTAGTCCGCAGTCCTAAAGTGTGAGGAACAGTTTGTGCACACTGTCCCAATCTGGTTATCCGCCACCTACAGCGGGTTTATCCGCCACCTACAGCGGGTTTATCCGCCACCTAAAGCGGGTTTATCCGCCACCTACAGCGGGTTTATCCGCCACCTACAGCGGGTTTATCCGCCACCTACAGCGGGTTTATCCGCCACCTAAAGCGGGTTTATCCGCCACCTACAGCGGGTTTATCCGCCACCTACAGCGGGTTTATCCGCCCCCGTCTCGCCATCTTGTTTATAGATTGACGTCAGGATAAATAACTTTTCATATCCTCCGTCTGGTCTCTGTTATTTCCCAGCGTTCCAGTAACAAGCAGCCTGCGTGAATAGAGGCTATTCATTTCTCTGCGAGTCTCTTCTTGCTGGTCAGACAGGCAGGCAGTCAGTCAGTCAGTCAGAGGGCGGAGCGCCGCGAGCGAGTTCCTCTTCCCCGCGTGACGTCCGACAGAGACCAATTATAAAAACTGAGATGCGACATCCGTTAAATCGTTATGGCATGCCGCCGTACGCCGGAAACGCCCAACATATAGCCCCACATATAAGCCCTACATATAAGCCCTACATATAGCCTCTCATATATAGCCCTACATATAGCCCCACATATAGCCCCACATATAAGCCCTACATATAGCCCTACATATAGCCTTACATATAGCCCTACATATAAGCCCTACATATAGCCCTACATATAGCCCCACATATAGCCCCACATACAGCCCTACATATAGCCCCACATATAAACCCTACATATTGCCCCACATATAAACCCTACATATAGCCCTATATATAGCCTCTCATATAGCCCTACATATAGCCCTACATATAGCCCCACATATAAGCCCTACATACAGCCCTACATATAAACCCTACATATAAGCCCCACATATAAACCCTACATATAAGCCCCACATATAGCCCCACATACAGCCCTACATATAGCCCTACATATAGCCCTACATATAGCCCCACATATAAGCCCTACATATAGCCCTACATATAGCCCCACATATAAACCCTACATATAGCCCCACATATAAACCCTACATATAGCCCTATATATAGCCTCTCAAATAGCCCTACATATAGCCCTACATATAAACCCTACATACAGCCCTACATATAAACTCTACATATAAGCCCTACATATAGCCTCTCATATAGCCCCACATATAGCCCCACATACAGCCCTACATATAGCCCTACATATAGCCTTACATATAGCCCTACATATAGCCCTACATATAGCCTTACATATATCCCTACATATAGCTCTACATACAGCCCTACATATAGCCCTACATATAAACCCTACATATAAACCCTACATATAGCCCCACATATAGCCCTACATATAGCCTTACATATAACCCTTACATATAGCCCTACATATAGCCCCACATATAAACCCTACATATAGCCTTACAGCCCTACATGTCTTACTCCAGCCTGCTGTGTTCACTAGATAAGCTACAAGTTGGCCCAGATAATACGCGGCGCATTGCCTGTCGCATAATTAATGTCTTACACTTGTAATATCGACTATTGATGAATGGACGATGCACTTCTTCATCCGTGAAATCATAGAGATCAAACGGAAACTGCTCACAAGAACTCCACAATCGCTCTCTTGTAACCGATTCTTCTTCTGTATGTGATTCAAACCCTTCGGGGTTGAATCTCTTTCCACTGTGCTGTACCACCCTCTAGTGGTAGAGTTACGGTACTGCTTAAGGGAAATGTCACGCCTGAAAGTGATAACTGGATCCCAACAAAGCATCATGAACTCCTACTTAAAAGACGTAATGTATATATAATGAAAGTAGTAGTTATGAAATGAATACAAAGCACCACCCATAACGCTGCCAATTTCCAGTACAGTGTCCTACTTTCTAAATAAGTGGATGGTTCTTGAGTGGACAAACCCTCAGAGGAATGATTAGAAGTCCTATAATCAAAGACTGAGACTTGATACACACTAATAGCTCTGTTATGCAGAAAGAGATCCAATAGTGGATCAAAACCATCATTAAATAATTAAATTGCTGTATAGATATTTTCACGCATTGTGGCTGCACTCTAGGCCTGCCCTCACAGAGGCTGTGCAATTTGGATCCGATTGGCCGATTTTGTGATTTGTGTTTTTTCAGAAGTAAATCGATTACACTATGGCCTGGAAAAAATGGATCTCCGAATTTGAACGGTTCAGTCAACCGGTCTCAAAAGGCAGCGTTTAGACAGACATCTTCAATGTGACCTTTTAAGGTTTTCTGCCCATAATTATTTATCTGATTGGTCGTCGGACTGAGTGTAAATAGAGCCAATGCGTCTCAGGTGCCATTTTTCAAACAAATTGGTCATTTGATGACTCAACGTTAACAAATGTGGTGGTCAGTGTGAACACTTAGGCATTCCTGATGTAGTCAGGAGATGTAGTCAGGAGGTTGTATGGGCAGGAAAGACCTGTTCCTAGACCAGAACTTGAATGTGGAGCATGAATGCATATATTGGTTGAGAGGCTTTGGCTGTGATTAACCAGGCAGGCTGAATGGGATGTTTATGTGATTCAATTGTCTGTAATTGATCCTTTGACAATTGAGATCCGCTCTGAAAAACATCTCATGTTAAAATATCTGATTGATCAACAAGCAAATCAGCAGGGGGGAATGGTAAAAAGACAAATTAGTGAAACACAACAAAAACTTGGCTGCATTTATAAAAACAGCATTTTCAACATAAGTGTTTTACACTGACTTAATTTCAACTTTTACGTCTATTCTTTGGTATCATTTGTATTCTCTTATGTCCTTTACTGAAAAAACAGACCAATATAACAAAAATAATATGTCAAATTTCAAATTAGCAACTTCTTTTAAATTAAACGCAGTCTACATGTGTTACAATAATGGAGACACCAAAATCAATTGAAAGTTAATAATTGATCCACCTTGGCACGATTTCACAGAAACGAGTTACGGTGTCTTCAGATTTTTGGTGACTAGAATTGGCACAGTGATGATGATGATGCACACAGACACAAACACACAGGTAAGTATTTTGCAAAGTCTGTTCCTTCTAATCTCCGCTTCTTTCTTCTTCAACAAGGAGTCGTAGCCAGGCGTGTAAAGATCCTCCAACCAAAAATCGAGATCTTGGGGGTCTTTTTCTTCTTCCTAAAAAGCAGAATTAATGTAGCAATCAAATGATAGCAGTGTGACAGACACACATACACTCACTTATACCTCAGTTGAGTTGAGAGGTATCTAAACCGCCACAAGGAGTCACTAGTGTAGAGCCTGATATGGCAAGGAAATCCCCCAATCCAAACCCAGACCATGTTGTCCTACTGCAATGCCACTTCATATTGTAATTTACACAAATAAAAATCTACAGAGTAATGAATAATTGCCCCCAAAATTATTTGAAATGTTAATCCTTCTCCTTAAATCTATATCCTAAAATGACAT